CCCTTTCCCATTGACTTATCAGGGCGATATTGCAAATTAACTGGCCAGCCAAGGATGGCCAGTTTACCCCCACCAAAAGATGGCCGGCTATTTTGCATATGGTGGGCCCAATGCTGGGAGGCAAAAGGGGAAAGGGTGGAAGGAAGCCCCCTTGCCCCTGATGGGTGGTTCGGAACCCCGGGGGGGGGGTTAAGGGGCCGGGGGCAGGGCAAAAGGCGCCCCTGGGGCCGCCTTTTGCCCCTGCCCCCCCAGCAGTGATCAGAGAACCAGGTGCTTTGCCGCCCGGGCCAGTGATAGCGGGAAGCAGGGGTGGAGCCAGCAATGGGAGCTGGGCAGGGACGGAGCCGGCAGTCCTGGGAGCTAGGGATCCCCTTGCCCAGGCCTAAAGCCTTGGCCCAAAGACGTTAGGCCTGGGCAGGGGCAGAGCGGGAGATCCGGGGATCTTGTAGTACACTGCCCAGGCCTAATGCCTTGGCCAGATGTGTTAGGCCTGGGCAGGGGTGGAGCCTGCAACCGCGTGTAGCTGAGGGTCCCCTGCCCAGGCCTGACACCTCTGCCGGAGGCCTCAGGCCTGGGCAAGGGGCCTATCCGGTGATCAGCGATCGGAGGGTGATGAGGGTCAACTCCTCTGGCCGAGGCATCAGGCCTGGGCGGGGGGGCGGAGCCAGCAATCGGAGGGGGCTGGGGGTCCCCTGCCCAGGCCTGATGCCTGGGCCAGAGGCATCAGGCCTGGGTGGGGGGTGGAGCCGGTGATTGGGGGGATATGAGGGTCCCCTTGCCCAGGCCTGAAGCCTGGGTCAGAGGTGTCAGGCTTGGGCAGGGGGTGGAGCAAGAGATCAGAGGGAGATGGGGGTTCCCTGCCCAGGCATGATTCCTGGGCCAGAGGCATCAGGCCTGGGCAGGGGTCAGAGCCAGTGATTGGGAGGAGATGGGGGTCCCCTGTCCAAGCCTGACACCTCTTGGGGAGGCGTCAGGCCTGGGCAAGGGGCCGATCCTGCTATTGCAGGGTGATGGGGTCAACACCTGACGGCTCCCAGTATGTGAGAGGGGGCAGGCTGGGCTGAGGGACACTCCCTGCCACCACCACCCAGTGCACGAATTTCGTGCACCAGGCCCTTAGTAAATAAATAAAAAAGCAATAGACAGAGTGGAAGACTGTACATCATGTTTACTGTTTAGAAATGAAGTGCAGTTGAAGGACTGGAGAGACAGTGTGTATATGATCACTGTTATCAGTTGCTGCTGAGAAGTAAAGTATTAAAGGACTAAAAGAAGATGACTCTCCAAAAAATTTTAGTGAAATTATAGAATTGAAAGTCAGCTTCTTATGTAAAAAAAAGAAAGAAAGAAAGAAAAAAGATTGAGTGGTGAAAATATGAATATATGGGTGAGACCTTTGCATTAAAAAAATGTTATATTTAATGGGTGGGGATGACAGGATGACAGAAAAAGCTACAAAAATCAAGTAAAAGTTATGATTTTATGTAACATAGAGAACACATTTTATTTAAAGAGGAAAGTAACAGAAAAGTAGAAAATGAAACCTATGGAAGAAAGCTTACAGAGAATGAGATTCTACCTCATCCTAAAGTCAGATTACCACCATAAGGTAATGGGGACTGCATGGGAAGCTTTCAAAGATTACCTTAATAAGATGTGATTTAATTGAACCTGGAATATCTTGAACTATTGATGAAAATGTTTCTAGGGCATCTTTAGAAACTAAAAGGTCAATGTAGCCTTAAAAATTATTTTAGCCCTTAGTAATTTATATATTAAAACCTCTGTTTTCACAAACTTTGGCAATTTAATTTCCATAAAGAAAGTGGTGAAACTGTAAAATCAATTTAAGCTGCTGTAAGATATCATTATTTTTTAAATCTGTCCTATTGGCATCAAGTTTATAAACTAGATCTTATAAACCTGTCTACTACCATTTATAAACTTGTGTATGCATGTTATTCATGAATTCATTAGAAATCATATTTTTAAAAAAGAAGAGTCTCTAGATTTTTAAAAATAATTTTCTTTAATTTTTTTTTAAATGTCAGCACAAAAAAGAAGAGTTAAAGAAATATATTGACTTAAATATATTTCTGCAGCAGAGGTTGCAGCAAGAAGTAAATGAAATTGGTGATTTAGAAAAAGAGATTACTCGGTAAGATTTTAATATTTCAGAACATTTCTGCCATGAATTAAGATTTAACTGTCATTTTACTTTATTAAAAATAAAATAAAATTTATTTCCTCTGTAAATTTTTATAATTAAATTATCCTATTTAAAAATTTACTGGAGAAACACACACCACAATCTGAAACTGCTTTGAAGGACATGATATTGTACTTACTTTTTTATGATTCGTAAAACCATAATGAGGATGCCTTTTGCATATCCTGTCAACTGTTCTTTTCATGGCTACCTTGAATTTTTAATTCTGCAACATATCTGCTCTCTTTGGTGATATTCCCTTCTTCTCATAGTGTGCATCCCTTCTGCACTCAAATATATCCTATCTAATAATAGACAAACATGGTAATTAACTGCAACTTCGCTACCCTTCCCATTGGCTAATCAGCGAGATATGCAAATTAACTGCCAACCAAGATGGTGGCCGGCAGCCAGGCAGCTGAAGCGAACAGGAGGCTGGCTTGCTCCAGTGATGTAGGAAGCCAAGGTTCCCCACCTGCTGCTGCCGGCCTCTGAGCTGCACTCTAAGCAACTATGTTGCAATTATAGAAGCTAAACAGAGCCCAGAAACCTGCTTTCAGCCAGCCGGTCCTCAGAGCTGGAGCTGTAACAGTGTTTCAATTATAGAAGCCAAACAAAAGCAGATACCTGCTTTCAGCAGCCGAGGTCTCAGAGCTGGAGCCAAGCCTCAGAGCTAAAGCCATCCCTCAGTTCCAGTGACAGCCATAGAAGGCAAATAAATCCCAGAATCAAAAAAAAAAAAAGAAAAAAGGAGAGGTTGGGAGCTTCAGTCACCCGCCAGCCTGAAAACGGCCCTCAGGCTCTCACCCAGACTGGCCAGGCACCCCAGTGGGGACCCCTACCCTGAAGGGGGTGTGACCAGCTGCAAACAGCCATCATCCCCTCATCCAGGCTGGCCAGGCACCCAAGCGGGACCCCCACCCTGATCCGGGACACCCTTCAGGGCAAACCAGCCTGCCCCCACCCATGCACCAGGCCTCTATCCTATATAGTAACAGGGTAATATGCAAACTGACCCTAACAGCAGAAAGGACTGGGACTGGCTGGTCACTGTGACACATACTGACCAGCCAGGGGGGAAGATGCTTAATGCAGGAGCTGCCCTCTGTGGTCAGGTTGCTCTCACATGGGAGGAGCTCTGCTCAGTCACAAGCCAGGCTGATGGCTGCCAGTACAGCGGTGGGGAGGGAGCCTCTCCTGCCTCCTCAGCA